CAATTGAATCCAGCAATATATTTTTAAAATTTATACACCAGAACCAAGTGGGATTTAATCTAAGTTGTGGCTCAACATTTGAAAGTCAATGAATGTAATTTATCATGTCAACAAATTAAAGAAGAAAAATCGTAGGATTTTTGTCAGTTGATGGAGAAAACATTCAACAGCACGCAATACCCATTTATGGTAGAAACTCCGCAACTAGAAATAGGGACTTTCCTTAAATTGATAAAGATCATCCACACAAAACCTGCAATAGCATCGTACTTAACAGTGAATGCTTTCTTTTCAAGATCGGGAACAAGGCCAGGACTTATTCCACATAGTACTGGAAGTTCCAGCCACTGCAATAAGAAAAGAAAAGATGTGTAGAAGAAAAAATAAAATTGTCCTCATTTACAGATTGTCTGCATAGAGAATCCCAGAGAGGCGACAAAACCTTAGAGAACCAGCAAGTGAATTCAGTAGGCATGGAGGATACAAGATCAGCATACATAAATCAATTGCACTTTTTATCTTTTTTGTTTTTAATGTTTATCTGTTTCTGAAAGAGTGAGTGAGCACAGGGGAGGAGCAGAGAGATAGAGAGACAGAGCATCCTAAGGAGGTTCTGAGCTGTCAGAGCAGAGCCTGATGTGGGGCTCGAACTCACAAGCCGTGAGATCATGACCCGAGCCAAAATCAAGAGTTCAATGCTTAATGGACTGAGCCACGCAGGCACCTCTGAATTTTGTTTATCTTTTTAAAAAAAGATCTTGAGGGGCGCCTGGGTGGCGCAGTCGGTTAAGTGTCCGACTTCAGCCAGGTCACAATCTCGCGGTCCGTGAGTTCGAGCCCCACATCGGGCTCTGGGCTGATGGCTCGGAGCCTGGAGCCTGTTTCCGATTCTGTGTCTCCCTCTCTCTCTGCCCCTCGCCCGTTCATGCTCTGTCTCTCTCTGTCCCAAAAATAAATAAACGTTGAAAAAAAAAATTAAAAAAAAAGAAAAGATCTTGATTTATTTTTGAAAGAAAGGGAGCAGGGAGCAGCAGAGAGAGAGGGAGACAGAGAATCTGAAGCTGGCTCCACACTGTCAGCTCAGAGCCTGACTTGGGGCTCGAACTCATGAACCGTGAGAGCATGACCTGAGCTGAAATGGGACGCTTAACCGACTGAGCCACCCAGGCACTCCTCAATTGCATTTTTACGTACTAATAGTGAACATGTGGAAACTGAAATTAAGACACATGCCATTTGCAATTACTGCCCCCCAATGAAATCCTTAGGTATAATTGTAACAAAAACATGTATAGAATCAGTATCCTGAAAATTAGAAAATACTGATGAAAGATTTTAAAGACCAGTCAATTAAAGACATACCAGGTTCACAGATTGGAAGACTTGTCATAGTAAAGATGCCCCTAATTACTCTATAGGTTTAATGCAATTCCTATAAAAATTCCAGCAAAGCTTTTTTTTTTTTTTCGAGACAGATAATAAGCTTATTCTAAAATTTATGCGGAAAGGCACAGGCTCTAGAGCAGCTAAAACCAACTTGGAAAAGATGAATAAGGTGGAACTAATCACTCTGCCTGATATTAAGCCTAGTGCAGCTACTGCAATCAAGAGAGTATGGAATTGGAGTGTGGTATTGAGAGTGTGGAGAGATAGACACCTACGTCAGTGGAACAGGATAGAGAACCAAGAATTTAGACCCACACAAATATGGCCAATTGATTTTTAACAGAGGAACAAAAGGAATTCAACGAGGGACAACTTTTTCGACAAATGATATTGGGGCAATTGGACATTGGTATAGGCAAAATCATGGGCCTCAGTTTAAGCTTCATATAGATATTCAGTCCAAGTAGATCGTGGACTTAAATGTAAAATGTAAAACTATAAAACTTTTTTAAAATACTGGAGAAACATCTTTGGGATCTAGGGCTGGCCAAAAACATGATCCCTAAAAGAAAAAAAAGTTAGACCTCATCACAAAAAGATATAAAAACAAGTTATAGACTGGGAGAAAATGTTTGCAACCCGCATATCTGGCAAAGGACTAATATCTTGAGCATTAAAAATATAAATAAAAACCTCTTGGGGCACCTGGCTGGCTCAGTGGATAGAGCATACGAAGCTTAATCTTAAGGTCATTGAGCTCAAGCCCCATATTAGGGATGGAGCCTACTTTTTAAAAAATTAAAAATTAAAAAACTAACCTCTCAAAGCGCAACAGTTAAAAATCCAGCACAATCCAATTAGAAAATGGGCAAATGACAAGAACTGTCCCTTCAGCAAATACAAGCAGCAAATAAGCACGTGAAAAGATGTCCCGCCTCATTACCCACGAGGAATATATAATTTAAACACACAATGAAATATCAAAATGGCTAAAGTAAAAAGTAGTGACAACACCAAATGCTGGCAAATGTGGGGAAATTGGATCAGTCAAATATTACTAGTGGGAATGTAAAATTGTAAACCTACTCTGGGAAACCGTTTGCAGCATCTTATAAAAACTAAACATGCAACTACCATAGGACTGAGCAATTGCATTCTTAGACATCTATCCCAGCAACATGGAAACTTACTTTCATACACGAAGCTACACACAGTGTTCACAGTGGCTTTATATATAATAGCCCAGATCTGGAAACAATCCAGACGGTCCTTTGACAGGTGAAACAAACTGTGATACATCTATCCCATGGATACTACACAGCAATAAAAAGGAACGAGTTATTAATGCATGAAACAACATGGATGAATTTCTGGGAATTATGCCAGGTTAAAAAAAAAAAAAACAATTCCAAAAGGTTACATCCTGTATGGCTCTATGTATATAACATTTCTTCAAATGTCAAAATTATAGAAATGGAGAAAAGATTAGTAGTTGTGGGGGGCAGGCTATGGTAATAAAAATGTACCAGGAAGGGTCCTTATGGTGATGGAAATGGTCTGTATTTTGACCGTAACAGTGTCAATATCTTGGATAATATGTACTGCAGTTTTTAAGATGCTATTTTTAGGGAAAACAGGGTAAAGGATACATAGGGTCGCTCTGTATTATATCTTAATACATGTGAATCTACAATGATTTTAAAATAAAAGTTGAATTATAAAAAGGGGCGAATCCCTTGGAAAATGGTTTGGCAGTTTCAATGAAGTTACATACTATATATTTAATGAAGTTAAGTTCATATTTAAATATATGAATTCTATGAATTTGTATATTTAATGAAGTTAAATACTGTTTAAATTAACTTTTCCTATGACCTGTCCATTCTACTCCTGTGTAAATATCCAGGAGTAGTGAGTACACTTGTCCATAAAAAGATTTGTGTATGAATGTTCACAGTATCTTTATTCATTATAGCCGAAATTTGGAAACAATCCAGATGTTCATATGGAGGAGAATGGATAAACAAATTGTGGCATATTCCTACAATGGAATACTTCTTTTTTTTTTTTTTTTTTTTTTTTAATTTTTTTTTTTTCAACGTTTATTTTTGGGACAGAGAGAGACAGAGCATGAACGGGGGAGGGGCAGAGAGAGAGGGAGACACAGAATCGGAAACAGGCTCCAGGTTCTGAGCCATCAGCCCAGAGCCTGACGCGGGGCTCGAACTCACGGACCGCGAGATCGTGACCTGGGTGAAGTTGGACACTTAACCGACTGCGCCACCCAGGCGCCCCTACAATGGAATACTTCTTACAAAAAAAAAGGAACGGATACACACAAGATATGGATGCATTTTTTTCACACATTACGTTAAGCAATGGGAATCAGATACAAGAGAGCATGTAGCATATGATGACATTCATATGAAGCTTAAGAACAGACGAACTCATTGCTACTGATGGAAGATAGACACTGTTTACTGGTAGTGGGAGGGTGGGACCAACTGGAAAGGAGCTTGGGGGAACTTTCTGGAGTGACAGAAATGTGGCTACATAGGTATACGGCATAATGTTAAAACCTATTGAACTGTACCCTTAAGGTTTATGCATTTTACTCTATGTTGATTATACCTTAAAGTACCGTAAAACAGATCTTCGTTCATAGGAGGAAAAAGACACGTCAACTGATCCCACCATATGGACTTTATTTGAATCCTCTCTTGGACAAGCTATAGAAAAAAAACTGCTTAATAGCACTCATGAGAAATTGAAAAGATGAGGAGTTTATAACTGATGACATTAAGGGGTTGGGAAGTTTATAGGTATAAAATAATTGTGTTAAAGAGTTCATGTCATTTAGAGAGAGGCACTGAAATCAATGATGTACCTAGGATTGGCTTCACAATAAAGCCGATGAGGACTGGTAGGATGTAAATGAAACCAGATTGGCCATGCATTGATTTGTTTAACTGCATGGTTGGATTGATTATCATCTGTGTTTTACTCCATGACAAAAAGTTAAAGTTCTAAAATTTAGTACAAATAGGAGCACCTGGGTGGCTCGGTTGGTTAAGCATTCAACTCTTGATTTCGGCTCAGGTCATGATCTCACTGTTTGTGGGATCGAGCCCCACATCAGGCTCTGTGCTGACAGTGCGGAGCCTGCTTGGGATCCTCTCTTGCCCTCTTTCTGCCCCTCCCCTGTTTGCGCGCATGCTCGTGTACTCTGTCTCAAAAATAAACAAACATTGAAAAAAAGATAGACACAGGTAAAACAGAACAGTAAAACAGAACAATCAGCCTCTGAGATAGTACGCCCTAAGGATGCTCAGGGAGTGGTGGGGAAAGTTCATGCCTCAAACAGAAGCGTTGCTACTCTGCACTAGATGTCTTCATCAAGGAGTGAGGATCTCCAAGGGTAGAAAACCACCCTACGCTCAGTGGACACCAAGTGTATACATACCTTATATTTAAGTTCTTTCCATTAAAATGGGTTTATGTTGGCACATATAGACACAGCGTATCTCCATGAATCGTCCATCTGTTTTACCAAAGTGAAGCAGGGGGATTAATTATGTTTTTCAAACTTCATGTGCTCTCTTATTTTCTCTAAGGACCTGATGTTATTTTATGAGGATGATCCAAAGCCAGTTTTGCCCACACTTCCTCCTCCCATTACCTCATCAACTAAACGGTTCTCAGAAGAGCAAGCAGACGTTTGTCACCTCTGCGATGCAGGTAAACTGGGTAAAAATTAGCAAGTCTACTCAGAAGCATCAATACGAAACATTGGGAAAGGAGTTGCTTTTCGTCAGATTTTATTTGGTGAAATATAGCAATAAGGGCTTTAATTTAACTTTGATAATGGGGGATGGGACCAGCATGGATGAATTCAGCCCACACGTAATCCTATAATCCTATTTTGCCATTTGTTTCAGTGGGTTTTTTTTTTCTCTATTTTGCTTTCTTTTCTTTCTCACCATTTCAAAAATTAGTAACCACAATCAGACCTCTTACGAATGCTTTAAAAAAGCAGAAAAATTAATTTGAGTTCCTTTTTTCATTTGTATGAACATCTCTTTGATAACCAAGCTTTAGGCCAGAATGCATGGGATCCCCCAAACTGGCTAATCGCCTCTTGAATAATTAACATTAGAGGGGGTACGGTATAAAATGATACAGACTGGCCTCCAAGAAATTACACTATCAAATTCCAACCGGGTCCTGCTGCTGTGAAAGACCTGATTGATTCACCATGGCACCGCTCCATACTGTCTCTATTTTTCAGAAACTCTCAAGTTTTGATACATTCTTCCTCTTGCTCTTCTCAAAAAATAGGACTCAAGACCTTCTGCCAAGTTGAGAATGAAACGTTCTCATCAGTATGTTTCATCCCCTCATTTGTCTTTGCTTTTATATCCATCCAGGCATCTCCCTCATTGCAGAGGTGGCTCCTTATGTTCCGAGTTTCGTCTTCTCCCTCATCTTTGGGCCACGCACCTCGGTTTTCTCCTTATATATACCCCCAATATCCAAAATGTATTTAAAAAAAACCCTGTAGGTTATTAGCGTAGATTTCTTTTCTACATTTACATGTATATAATTTTCTTATAAAACTGGTCCTGAGAACGATGATGAGGATGTTCCAACAAACACAGAACACGAAGTTGTGGGTTATGGTGATATTTGTAAGTACAAGGATGATATGACTCACATGGATAATTAGTTATAAGTGGTTACCATTTTTTAGACAGCTTGCTCTGTCTTCTTAGAATACGCTTTATGTAAACGGATCCAGATCCAGAAGCTCGAAAGAATAGTAAGGAAAACATTTTTGTGATCTCATATTCCCATGTATCCCCCCCGCCCCCCCCCCCCGCCGCGCCCAACATTTTTTTTAATTTTTTTTTTTCAACGTTTATTTATTTTTCGGACAGAGAGAGACAGAGCATGAACGGGGGAGGGGCAGAGAGAGAGGGAGACACAGAATCGGAAACAGGCTCCAGGCTCTGAGCCATCAGCCCAGAGCCCGACGCGGGGCTCGAACTCCCGGACCGCGAGATCGTGACCTGGCTGAAGTCGGACGCTCAACCGACTGCGCCACCCAGGCGCCCCAACATTTTTTTTTAATTAAACTTCATTTTTAGAGCGGTTTAGGCTCCCAGTAAAATTGAATGGAAGGTACAGAGATTTCCCCATACACCCCTGCCCCCAAACAAGCACAGCTTCTCCCACTACCCACACCTCACATTTGTTGCAATCAGCGACCATACATTAATGCTTGATTATCAAAGACGATAGTTTACATTAGGGTTCTCTCTTGGTGTTGTATATTCTATGGGTTTTGAGAAACGTATCCACCATTTTAGTATCATACAGAACCTCTCTCCCTTCCTCCTAACACCCGATGCTTTGTCTCCACAATTTTGCCTTTTCCAGAAAGTCATATAGTTGGAACCATACAGGATAGCGTTTTCAGACTGACTTCTTTTATTCAGTAACATGTATTTTAAGCTCCTCTGTGTCTTTTCATGGCTTGATAGCCCATTTCTTCTTAGTGCTGAATAGGATATGATAGAGTATTTATCCATTCACCTGCTGAAGAACATCTTAGTTGTGTCTGAGTTTTGGCAATCATAATAAATAAAGCTGCTGTAAATATCCATGTGCAACTTTTTGTGTGGAAATCAGTTTTCCCCGCCAACATTTTAATACAAGTGAAATTGAATATAAATGAGGCTCAGGGGAAGCCTTTAAGAGGAAAAAAGTCACAAAACATGTCGAGTGAGGGATGAGTCCCCCATGTTACTTGGTTAGAACTCGTCTTAATTGGAGAAGCTTCTCCTATTTTTGAGTCTTTCTCTTCTCCCGTCTTTCCTTCACACCAGTCTCAGAGATATCTTGCTAAAATGCAGATCTAAATGTTTCACTTCTCAGCTTAAAAACTTTCAGTAGTTTTCCACTACCGATAGCATGTTTAATTTTTTTATGCCGTCATATGAGACTTTCATGGCCTGCTCCCAGCCAACCCCTGTAGCCTCATCACACAATACTGCCAATACTCACAATGCTCTGTGACATTCTATTACCTGTATAGTTTCTTCTCCTTAGAAAGTCTTTGTTCCAGTTACTTCGGCTGGGTAACACATTGCTCTAAAACTTTGTGGCATAAAATAACCATTTATTCTGCTCATGGAATTCTCTGGGTCAGGAATTAGGACAGGGCACAGTGGGGATGACTTAGCTCTGTCTCATGACGTGTGTTTGGGCCTCGGCCCGAGAACACAAAGGCTGGGGATGGGAATCATCTGAAGGCTCGTTCACTCGTGTGTCTGGTGGCTGGTGCCCACTGTCGGCTGGGGGCCTCAGTTTCTCTCCACGTGAGACTCTTCATGCAGTCTCTCCACATGGGCTAGTGTGGGCTTTCTCACAGCATGGTGGCTGGGTTCCCAGGGTGAGCGTCCTGTAAAAGAAAGGACCAGGCAGTAGCTGGCTACTCTCAAAAGTCATGCTGTGAGACTTCCTTCCCATTCAGTTCATCAAAGCAATCACAAAATCTTGCCCAAGTTCAAGGGAGAGGGAACATAGACTCCCACCCCTCCATGGACAAGTGTCAATGTCATATTGAAAGAAAAGCATATGGGAGGGTGTGTGTGTTAGTACAGTCATTTTTGGAAAATACAGTCTGCCACGGTCCTCCACCAAATTATGGATGCTTGACAAAGTCCTATTGAGACAGCCAGGCCCAGCTCAAAGGTCACTACTGCTATAAAATCTTTTCTACACACGAATTTTTCTTTTCACTGTGTCCCTGTGGGACTTTGCCTACAACCTTAGAGTTGAATTTATAGTTCTGTATCATTTTATAAGTTTGATTTATTTTTAATTATGTAAGTAACAAGTGAATATACTCTTATTTTAAAAAATTCAAACAATATTGCTAGAGTCCAAATCCTCCTTGACTGTCCCTTACCCCAACACAGTTCCCTCCCCAGAGTTACCTGTTATGATCCATTTGTTGGTTACTCTCTAGGCCTTTCTCTGTGCATTTGCACACATACATGTACCTTGAAAAGTATGTAGAACTGACTTTATTTTGTTTCAGAATATTCTGTATTTTTCTGAAACGTCTTAAAGCAACATCACTTGGCCATCCTATAGATGGCCTTTCTTTTTAACTCCTATATTGCCTGGGTGTTACAGTTTATTTCCCTGCCGGTAGACAGTTTGGTATTTTATATTTTTCACTATTACACTATTTCAGTATTACACTATTATTTCACTATTTTCACAACATTTCACTGTTATTTCGCTATTCGATATTACACTATTACAAATGATGCTTCAGTGAATAGCTGTGTGCATATATGTGAGTGTTTATTTAGGGTAGATAGATTCCTAGAAATGGAATCCCTGGGTCATAATATATGCCCGTTTTCATTTTAGTTAATGCTGCCAAATAGCCCCTCAAAATATCAATACCGATTCACACTGGCTTGTGGTATATAGAATTACTTATTCACACACACCCTCACCAGCACTTGATTTTTTTCAAGTCTTATATTTTTATCGCTTGGAAAAGGTTGCATTGCATGGTAGGTATAATTTGCATATTTCCATGTGTTAACTTGATATTTTTATTTCTTCTTCTGTGCATTGCATGCTTATATCCTTAGTCTTTTTCTTTTGGCTTGTGTGTTGTTGATCATTTAAATTCAATGATTTTGTAGCATTTGTATATAGGTCGCTGACCTTAAGAATCAAAACTGCCCTTTATCTTACCAGCAAAAGATAGGGTTATTCAGGAATAAAAGAGAATTTCAATTCAGGACAAACGAGCTGAGGCAAAAAACAGGCAAGCCCAAGGAATGAAGGAGAGGTACACTTTCTTAAGGAGAAAAGGAGTAGTCGGGAAGGCTGTTAGAAGCTTAAAGGCCATTGGAGTAAACTGAGAGTTCCAAGTGTAATGGCTTCTCATTGACTGAGCTGTTGTTGGGAGGGGAGGGAGATATGGAAAGCCTCTCTTCCTCTTCCCAGTAGTATGCGCCTTCAAGGTCAAGTCCTGCTCTTCTGTCTTGTGTGCAATTGACTAGAGTGGTAGGGCGTGAGAGCTTCTCCTAGGGAAACCTCCGGACTCCATTTTAGTGAGGGTTTCCGTTACTAATTTTCACGCTGTTACTAATCCTTTCTGTGATTTATGTTGCAAATATCATCTTCTAGGCTATGAAGTGTCTTTCCGATTTCTTTACAGAAAATTTGTGTTTTGTTGGTGTTTTTGTAGAAGTCTGATGTTTTATGTAGTCAAGTGTATTATTATTTCCCTTCAGAGCTTTTGTTTTTTGTTTTTGTAAATTTATTTTTTACTAAAGTATAATTAACATACAGTGTTATATAAATTTCAGGTGTACAACGTAATGATCAGACAGTTCTGTACAATACTCAGTGGTGCTCACCATGATAAGTATAGTGACCATCAGACAACTTTATTACAACCTTATTGACTGTATTTCCTGTGCTGTGCTTTTCATCTCTGTGCCTTATTTATTTTATAACTAGAAGTTTGTACCTTTATCTATTCCATCCCCCCACCTCTCCTCTGGCAACCACCAATCTGGTCTCTGTATTGAAGAGTCTGTTTTTTGTTTCTTTCTCTCTCCGTTTGTTCCTTTGTTTCATTTCTTAGATTCCACACATAAGCTAAATCATATGGCGTTTGTCTTTTTTGTGTAACTTTCTAA